CTACCAAAAAGTGGACGGCCAAAAATTTTGAACACCAATCACCAAAAAAAATTAAAAAAAATCGTAAGACAAGGCAATCGTAAATCAGCTGAACAAATTAAAGATGAGTTTAATGAGAAAACCAATTTACAAGTTTCTACAAGAACAATTAGAAGAAGTTTGCATGAACTTAATTTTTTTTCTCGTGTCCCTGCAGCCAAACCTCTCATTAATGAAGTACAAAGACAAAAACGTTTAAACTGGTGTCTAGATAAAAAAGATTGGACTATTAGAAAGTGGAAAAATGTCATTTGGAGTGACGAGAGTAGATTTACATTGTTTAAAAATGATGGCCCAGGTCGTGTATGGAGAAAACCTCAAACGAGATTTCATATTGAAAATCTTCAGCCGACAGTGAAACATGGTGGTGGTGGTATAATGGTATGGGGTTGTTTTTCAGGTAAAGGATTAGGGCCACTCGTGAAAGTTGATGGGAAAATGAACAGGCATGACTACATACAAATTCTCCAATCAAATTTGGTCCCTTTAATCAATGACAAATTTAATAGGCGAGGGTATTTATTTCAAGATGATAACGCCCCTGTTCACACTGCCAAAGATGTTCAAGAATGGTTGAAAACAAACAAAATCAAGATGTTAGAAGATTGGCCAAGTCAATCACCTGACCTAAATCCGATTGAGCATCTGTGGCATGAGCTGGAAATTTGTCTTCGAAATCATCCTAATAATTTAAAAAATCTTAAAGAACTTGAACATGCATTGGAGGAAGAGTGGAATAAAATTCCTCAAAAGGTTTTTGAAAATTTGATTGAAAGTATGCCACAGAGAATTCAAGCTTGCATTAGAAGTAATGGATGGCCAACTAAATATTAACTGTAGATAATCATTAATAAGAGGTTTAGTTAACGACAAATAAAATTTCAAAATGTGAAATTTTTGTGATCATCAAATTTTAATTTGTAGTTTTTTTTTTTCTATTTCTTGAGCTATATAAGGGCTTGAAACATTAAACTTCACACGAAGGTTTGACATAACCTAAGTTACTTATGGTATAAATTTAATATGTGGTTATTATGTATGTTTCTGCGTAATTAACAAAAACGTGCATTCCGATTCTTTTGTCTAGGTACTGTAGTTAAATTTAATTTTTGTAGTGTGCAGATTGTAGATCGTTGATATAAAATCTAAATAAAAATTAATTGAAGGAAAAAAAAAATGTCTTCTTTGGTTTTACGCTCATTAAATAAAAGATTAATAAATAACTCTTTTGGTAAAAAACCAATTTTTATTTACTTTACATACATACATGATTGATTATATTATTATTAATAAATATAATAATATGATATAGGTAGATCAGGAGGTTCAATTCATTATTACCATAATATATTAACAGAAAGTCATGGAACAGTTGGATTGATTACATTGAATCGTCCAAGGCAATTGAATGCTTTATCAAGTGATTTATTTCATGATGTTAATGATGCATTGGAAAAGTATGATAGTGACCCGGAAATTAGAGCAATTGTAATTACTGGAAGTGAAAAGGCTTTTGCTGGTAAATCACTCGTTATTCATTATTATGAAGAAGACTATGATACCAACAAAAATAATATATGTATATATTTTAACCATCGTTATATATAGCTGGAGCAGACATTCAAGAAATGGCAGATAAAACTTTTGCAGAAGTTTATAAGACAAATTTTCTTTGGCATTGGGGGAAAATTAATGAAATAAAAAAGCCAATTATTGCTGCTGTTAATGGTTATGCTGTAAATATATATCTGTTGGAGGAGAAGGAGAGGAGAAAATATTTTATTTACTAAATTAATTTTATTTTTTATTGAATTTATATATGTAGTTGGGCGGTGGATGTGAATTAGCAATGAGTTGTGATATAATTTATGCAGGTGAAAAGGCTATATTTGGTCAACCTGAAATTAAATTAGGTGTAATACCAGGTAATTATCATTTTATTGTATTTATTACATATACGCACAGCTTTTACACATTCACTTGATAAAAAAATAATTTTTTTTGTTTAGGTGCTGGTGGAACTCAAAGACTTACAAGAGCGATTGGTAAATCAAAAGCAATGGAAATAATTCTTACAGGTAAAAATTTTACAGCTCAAGAAGCAGAACAATGGGGACTTGTAAGTAAGATATTCCCGGTGGATAAATTACTTGATGAATCAATTAAACTTGGTCAAGAAATTGCTGGATTTTCACAGCCAGTCACTCAAGCTGCTAAAGAGTCCATTAATAAATGTTAGTGCTTATTTATTATATATGCTAATGTGTAAACTTTCTAATAATATGTTTAAATATATATTAATATTGAAATTTATGGGGGGCTTTTTTCTTTAAAGCATTTGAATTATCATTAAAAGAAGGAAATCATTTTGAAAGAAGATTGTTCCAAACTCTTTTTGCATTGGTATGAATGATTTTATTTTTTTATTTTCCTCGCGTGACTTTTAACGATGAGATTTTTAATAATTTATGATTTTAAATTTAATAGAAAGATAAATTTGAAGGTATGGAGGCATTCCTCAAGAAACGTCTACCACAATGGAAACATGAATAATAGCAATAATAATAAACATTATTAGTATCAGTATTATTGTTTAGTTTTAATAAGTTTGATAAATAAAGTTATTTTTTTTTGTAAATTTGGGAGCAATACTAGACAAAAAATGTCTTCAATCTTTTTTGTTGATGAATACAACAATAAAGAAATTAATCAACAAGATAAGAACTGTTTCCCAAAGTAGTCTTTTGAATGTTGGGCATTTTCTTCCTCTCATATTTACACAATCAGCCACACAAAAGATTCGTTAATACAGTAGAAGGATGATAACAAATTTTGAGAATCTAAAGCTCTATTGATATTGTGAGTCATATATGTATATGTGTGTGTGTGTGGATGGGTAAAAAAAATGAAATTTGTACAAATAGTGAATGAGTAATATGTTCTCATTTCAATAAATGAGGTATATATACCAAAAAATTCACTTCTTGTGATAATTGTTTGGAGCATAAACATTAAGTGTAGTTGTGAAGGTCAGATATTATGAGAAAGTTAGCAAAGCTTCCATTTTCTCTTTTTTGAAGCATGTTAAGGGGTTCGTTGTCACAAAAAAGATAATTGCATGCTTTTAAGCTTGTAAATTTTAATAATAAATTATTTTGATCAGGGAGGTATATGTTTTGCTATCAAATGGATCAGTTTGGTAAATTTAAATAAAATAATGTGTTTTCTTCAAAATTCTTTTTTGTATTTCTATTTGGTGATGATGTATTCCTTTCAGGTACTTGTTTAGGGAGTGCTTACAATTAATAATGACATTAATTATGAATATTCTGGTCCATATGAAGCTTGTAGTAAAGATTTAATTAAAGGATTGGTATGCATTTTTGAAAAAATTAATAATAGCATCACTACTGAGACAATTTTATCAACAAACTTAGGATTAGAACAAAGTGATAACAATAATGATGATGATACATTTAATGATAGTGAAGATTTAGATGAATAGTTTCAAAAAATTAGTGACAATAATAACAATAATAATCAAGGTGTAAACTTAGACATTGGTTCTGGGCAAATTAATAATGATGACAATGGGAAAAAATATCAATTTAA